TTCTATTAATGGTATATTCATTCCACCAGCCTCCTGCTCATGAAGGTTTTGTTTGACTTCTCCCTCACCTTAATCAGCACTGCCCACCAGCACCACCATATAATCATGCATTAGACTTTGTAGCTTCTGCCTGCAAAATATATCTTGCATCCAACCTTTCCATTTTTTTTTTTTCCTTTTTACTGGTGCCGATTTAATTCAGGCCCACATTATCTATGACTGAAATATTTATTACAAAAGTATTTCCTAGGCCCCATGGTGGACCTCCATCAGGCATTAGATAATTATTACATAAATTTTTCACAGTATCCTTTTATTTTCAAAGTCAAAATTCACTGCTCCTTCTTTCATAGCATCTAGTGAATAACTAGCTTCAGTTATAGAGTGTGTGGGCATGGGGTACGATGCAGTGGGCAAGAGTTCAAAGTCCACTTGTTCGTTCACAAGTGGATTTGAAGCATCTACTATTCACCAGGCCAGATTCTAGACTCCGGGGATTCAGCACTGAAAAGAATAAAATCAAGAAAGTTCCTGCACTCATGGAATTTACATTTAAGTGGCTATATCTGGGTTCAAATCGTGGATCCAGCGTTTTTAGATTTGTGATCTTAGACAAGTTACTTAACCTTTCTAAGCCTCTGTTCCTTTATCTGTTAAAAAAAAGAGAAAAAAAAGGTGGGGCAATGAGGGGGTGAGATATAATACGTACCTTGTAGGCTCTTGTAAGAAATAGAAATTAGGGGGCCGGCCCGGTGGCTTAGCGGTTAAGTGTATGCGCTCCGCTACTGGTGGCCAGGGTTCGGTCCCAGGCGCGCACTGATGCACCGCTTGTCCAGCCACGCTGAGGCGGCATCCCACATACAACAGCTAGAAGGATGTACAACTATCACGTATAATTATCTACTGGGGCTTTGGGGAGAAAAAGGGGGAAAAAAAAAAAGGAGGAGGATTGGCAATAGATGTTAGCTCAGGGCCGGTCTTCCTCAGCAAAAAGGGGAGGATTGGCATGGATGTTAGCTCAGGGCTGATCTTCCTCACAAAAAAAAAAAAAAAAGAAATAGAAATTAGGTTGATAGTTCATGTGATTCATGCCATAAATGTTCGCTCTTGTTTTCCTGACATGTATATTTTCTCCTTTTCCTAATGCTTGTCTTATTCACCTCTTATCCCACATATTAGGGTCCATTTCATGTTTTGGCCCATAACACTTTTTCCAATTTGTTAGATAAAGCACAAGCCACACACTTTTAGTATTTGCCCTCTTTTTTCATTCTGAAAACTTGTTGACTTTGCATCCGTGCTTCAAAATGAAGCAGAATTTAAAGTTCTAAAAGACTATAAAGACTCTTCATCTGGGAATAGAATTGAGAGTAGTAATGAATAAGAAAGTAACTACATTTTGCTTTCTTTTATCATTATGTAAACAGACTCAAACATCATTTTTCCCCCAAATTAGGAGAGTTTAAAATGCAAAAAATCTCTCTCTCACTCTTTCTTTCTCCTTCTCTCTCTCTCTCTCCTATTTATTACAAACTAAGAAAGAACAGCTCTTACTCAGGTCTTTGCTACATTTCTGATTCACATCCAGTGGACAAAAGGATATTTAAGCACTCATCACCCACTAATTATCTAGCACCCATACAGTACCAGGAGATCTTTCAAACTCTGGAGAAATCCTGGCTCCTGCTCTCATGGAGCTTGTATTCTCAGGTAGGAAGCATAGGTCTGCTATAGCTACTGGGGTAGTGGTAGCTGCCTACATGTGGATACACTTTGAGTTACAGAAGATACACTTAGAGATACAGAAGTGACTATTTCCAGCCTAGTAGAGAAATATATATACTTGAGCATTTTTACCAGAGTCTTTCGTTCAAACTTTTCTTGGATGCCTCCAGTAACAGGAAGCTCAGTACTTCATCTTTTCCATTTTTAATAGGTTCAAATGTTAAAAGTTCTCACATTTTCCTTGCTTTCCCAATATTTAAAGGCAGCTTTATATATCTTTCTCAACTTTCACAGCCACACAGCCCCCCTAAACTGGGCTAAAGATACCCAATCTTTTAGTCATTCTACAACTAATATTGTTATCAATATTGCCAATGTCCCTCCAAGATTCATAATTATTTAAAACACTCTCTCTGTGCAGACTGACCAGTTCAGAATATAGTGAACCATTTCTTTCTATTTTGGTTCAAGCATTTTAGGATTGAAATAATCCTAAATGCCATTGTCATCCTCACTGGTTGGCTCATATTAAACCTTTCTGTCTGTCAGGATATTTCTTTTCATTATTATTCCATGGCCTTACAGCTAAACCTGAGGGGTGGTGATATGTGGGGAAAGCAGGCAAGCCTAAGTGAAATTATATCAACTCTTGAGGTTGAGTACAGTGCTATGTGACTTACTGATTATCATTTAAATGTATCAAAATTTACCCAACAACTTAGAACATCCTTCAGGCCCAGAGCCAAAAGCAGAGTTTCGAGCTTATAGCAAACCAGACAGTTCCATAAGCATTCAAATGAAATTACTGACATTGTACTTCATGTGAACAAGGACACTATATTAATATATTATTACTATGCCACTTGAAATATGGATATTTGCTGGCAGATAGGTTACAAAAACATCAGATTACATATAAGTATTTCATGACTTCTTGGAAAATGCTGATCTCTTTAATTTAAATCATGAATATTTGTTTTACATAAATAGCTTCCATTCAGTTGAAACAATTTGGAAGTTATTAGAAGCACTCAAGAACTCAGTTTTTAAATTTTTAAGATCCAAAATATCCCAGATCACCACATTATAACCAATGATCAAAATTTATTCCACTCTAAAAGAGAAAATAAATTTTTTTGCACCTCCATATATAAAATGTATTATATATACAGGTTTGAAAAAATGATGTAACATAATTAAGTCTTTATTTCTAATTAACAATTTTTTTCAAAAGTGTTCACAGGGGATTAAGAAATATGTGAAATAGTTGTAAGCAAAATTGTGCATTGTTGAACCTACAAGCAAAGGATATATAAAAATGTGTAGGAAGAGGAAAAAGTATTTTTCGTATATGTGTTGACTATCTTTTTTAAGAATTACAGATATTATAGCAGTAAAAAGAAAATTCAGAATTCAATCAATTTTTAGAAATTTAAGACTAGATGAAAGAGTTAAAATTCTTGAATTTTGAAATTCCTCTTTAATGAGAAATAGAAATCTAAAATGATGACAACAACAATAATAATTATAGAGTTTAAAAAAGGCTTTGGAATTCTCAATATTCCTGTGTCTCTGCTTGAAGCACATAAAATTTAAATGATGTAGTCACAATTTGTTTCTTGACTGTTTTATATTCAGTAATTTTTAATGAAGCAACTAAATTAGGCATAACTTAGTGCAGCTTTAATGTAGTTATGAGGAATATATTTTACTTGATTAAAAATGATAAAACCAGGGAGCCTTAAATATTATCTTAAAAGATTAACTACTGTGTCAATTACAAATCTAGGGGAAAGGTATTTATAAGGGAATAACTATTCTGAACAGTAACTTCCTTTTGTTCATTTCATTTAATTAAAGACTCAATCAACTTTCACTCTTAATACTAAAAATCTCCTAAATTACACATTGGCTTGCAAATGGAAGGGCATACAGCAGGGCTAAGTCAATTTAACTCTAGTGAAGATTCAGCAAGTAATCCATTTCTTATTTAATCGGGGGGGAAAAAACTACTTGGCAGAGTAGAGTGATCTAATTAACTAAATAATCGCTAATTCTACATTGCATTTTGTGTTACATGACATAATATGAATAAATACCAGCAAAAATCAAATTATTCAGGTACCTACACTATGATGAGGCCTGCTCCCCTAACAGGTGTGCTAATGAGTAGAAGCCTCAATATCTTAAGACTGAGTAGATGAGGCAAATTTTTTCACCTCCATCTTTTAGGGTGACCAATTACCCAAAAGATTTACAAAGTTCCTTGCTATAAGGAGAGAAGTGGATGTGATCATCTATATATGTTTATTTTGTCCACCGAGAGGGAAAACTTGCAAAGGAACAGTTTGATATACACTTTGGATTTTTAGCAAAATACAAATAAATAGTCATAGAGGACAATTTTCACCTAAGGAGTACAAATAACTTTAGCTACGTTTAATTGTCAATTTCCTCTAAATAGGTAAATGTCTTCTCGTTGCGGATAGAATTAACAGTTCCTCCCTCCGAAAGCCCTGCACCTTTATCAAATCAACACACCACCCGATCATACCTTCTGGCCTCAGCCCTTTGCCTTGCATCACTAAGGTAGCCACGCTGCCATTGGGGCTGTTTTCCTTGAGTCGTGTAGCCCACCGCCAGGAGATTCTCCAAATTCTAATATGAATCAATTTCCTTGACAAAATAAAGCATTAAAAGTTTAAAAATAATTTTAAAAAAAACAGAAGAGATCTCAGTGTTGGAGTTTTTGTTTTGGGGTTTGGGGGCAGGAAGTATCTGAAAGATGGTTTTAAAGGAAGCGGACAGCTACTTGCATGGGACTGCATTTTAGTTGTGCTCAAAGTGATGGAAGTTGATTTGCATTATTCTGCCACCAAAATCGAAGTGTCTTGCCCAGGGAAACCCCCGCCAGACATGCAAAGTTTACTGAACAGGACTCTGCGGAGCGCTGCCATAAATTCAAACGTAACTGTCCCGGGCCCACAGGCTTTGCGAGAGAGGGACGCAACGTGAGACCCGGGGATCCACGCGTCTCTCGCCTCCGAAGGACTTGTCAGTGGCCTCTCTCTCCTCCTGGAGTCGGAAGTGGATGTCACCTGCAAATCTGCCCGACTTTCTGTTAGTCCCTCTCCTCGGCCCAATTCGGACAGTCTCTGATGCCCAGTTCCAGCCCCGGCCGCCCTCGGCTCCAGTGTCCCTAACCCCCGCCCCTCGCCTCCAATCGGGTCCCCTCCCCCGTGGTCCCAGCCCCTCCAAGCGCTGCCGGGCGCTGATTGGCGGTGGCGCTGACAGGAGGCGGGGCCTGGAAGTCCCGGCCAAACCCGCCCTCGCGTATAAGCCTCTTCTCGGCTCTCTCTCTCCATCTCTCTCCTCTCTCTTTCTCTCTAGCTCCCTTCCTCCCTGTAACCGAACAGTGAAAATTCACATTGTGGATCCGCTAACAGGCACAGATGTCATGTGAAAACGCACATGCTCTGCCATCCACACCGCCTTTCTTCCTTTTCTTTCTGTTTCCTTTTTTTTCCCTTGCTTCTTCTCCCTCTTCTTTGTAACTAACAAAACCAGCACCAACTCCTCCTCTGCTGCCCTTCCTCCTCCTCCTCAGTCCAAGTGATCACAAAAGAAATCTTCTGAGCCGGAGGCGGTGGCATTTTTAAAAAGCAAGCACATTGGAGAGAAAGAAAAAAGAAAAACAAAAGCAAAACAAAACCCAGGCACCAGCCAGCCAGCACATTTTTTTCCATCCTTCCTGAAAACAAACAAACAACCAAACAACCATCAAAACAGTCACCACCACCATCATCAAAACTGTTAACATAGCAGCGGCAGCGGCGCAAACGTCACCCTCCGGCCACAGCGTCCGCCTAAAGGGATGATTTTCTCGGCGGAGCAGCTCTTCGCCGACCACCTTCTTCACTCGTGCTGAGCGGGATTTTTGGGCTCTCCGGGGTTCCGGCTGGGAGCAGCTTCATGACTACGCGGAGCGGGAGAGCGGCCACACCATGCGAGGTAAGCGAGCCTGCGGGCACCGAGTCTCCCCGGGTCCGGCCAACTCCAGCCAGACGGGGAGATGGGGGAGGGGAGCGCACCCAGCCGGAGGGGAAAGAGGTCGGCGGGCGCAGCTGCTGAGTTCGCGTTCGCAGGTGGGCTGCAAATGGCCTGGGCGTAGAAAGTTGTGGGAAGGTGTTGATGCCTCTTGGGAGTTCTGGAGGGACGCGGGAGGGCGCTTTTTAGAGAAGGGAGCGACGCTAGTTGCTTCCTCCCAGTCCTTGAGTTGCATTGAACCATTTTTAGTGTCACTATCGGGTGCGGAAGCGGACGCCGGATGAAGGGGGAGCCGGGAGAGGGATGCCTCTCGGCAGAAGCAGCCGAAAGCACCCGGCGCGCAGTCGTCTCCGGCCGGCGTTGGGCGCGCGCGGCGCAGAGGCAGGCGGCGGGGCAGATACACACACTCTCCAGGTTACGAGGCCTACCAGAGTCCGGGCCAGTGGACACGTCCCTTCGTGGGAGTGGTAGGCAGAGGGGCAGTGTCGCGGAGCTGGACGCGGATTCGGGTATCGTCCCCTGAGCGCGTCCCTTGTACCGGCGCTGCGCCCTGGCCAGTGTGCCTGAGCCCACGCGGCCCGGGGACAAGCGCCACCCCGAAAAAGTTGTGCAGAGAAAGTTCCAAAGGATAGGAGAGCCCGCGCTACCCGCGGCGTGGAAGGGTCTTTTGTCAAAGGGCCGCTGCGGGAGGCGGTGCTGGGTGAGCCCTCGGGCAGGGACCCCCGGCGGCGACAGCGGCGGCAGGACCCAGGGGCGAAGTGGCGGCTGCAGGGATGGCTCGCGAGGGACAGGGGCGAGATGTCTGCACTTGGGGCTGCCCGAGCGGCTGGCCAGGCCGGCTTTCGGGAGTCAGTCACTTTGCTGTCTCCTCCCCCGCGGTGCCGGGACCTCCAGGTTTCCTGCGCGCTATGCTCGGACCCGCTCTCGCCCACTTTCTGCTTGGCCACAACTTCTCTTTTCTTGGAGAGTGAGCCCGGTTCCCGCGTGCCGTGGAAATATGTGCAAGCCTCTGGGCACGCACCCCCAGCCCCGCAGTTTTTCTTCCCTGGCCACCCTGCGGTTCTTTGGAGGGCTCTCCTCTCCCCTTCGCACGTCCCTCCGGGTCCTGGCAAAGTTGGAAACGGCGAGCTGCGGACCTTCCTACAACCCTGACCCCGCGACAGGTGGACTAGGCAGGAAGAACTTGGGAGAGTTGGGCCGCAAACACTCATCACCTTCCACCGGCTGTGTTCGTCTCCCATCCACTCCCCCAACACCTCTCTAGGAGCGCCCCGAGGGGCCAACGGGCAGGTTCCCTCTGCTCCGCGCGGTGAGCACCGAGCCTGGACGCCAGGGCAGAGACTAGGTCAGCCGGCTGGGGGCTGGGGTGCGGAAGGAAAGGGAAGGAGGAGGAGGAACGGAAAGGCTGTCCAGGGAGGTGGATGGGAAGGAGGTGGCTGAAGGTAAGGGACAGAGACGTCCTGGTGGGATGGTCTTGATTGACCCGCGCGTTGGGAGTGGGGACTCCCGTAAGTTTAGAGAGCCAGTTGGGGGTTGGTCACATGCTCCACTCTCCAAATCCTTTCAGGAAACTGCACTTGAAAATTGAGTAGAGAGCCTTTAACTGCGAGACGTCCTGGTCTTAGTTTTTCTTTTTCTGTCCCATCTCACCACTATCCGCTCTCCTTTCGGTTTCCCCTGCTCCAGTGTGGGGCTGCCAGTTCATCTTTCCCCTCCATCACCCCTTCCAACATTCCTCCAATGACTGGGTTCTTACGTTCTGAAGAGCCGGTCCTGGCACTAGGATCTGGGGAGTAAAAGCCGCTCACTCTCCCCTTAAATTGTAGAAAACATCAGTGCGGGGCAGGAGTGGACTGTAGCTTGATCGCGCTGCTCCTGAAGGAGCCGTTTGCCGGCAACAGTTCGGGTTCGCTACAGCGCTTGCTTCGGGGACTCCAGCAGCTTGAAGGGTTGAAAGCCAAGCGCCTGCCTCATGCTCACCTTGAGAAACCAGTCTAAGCCCACAACCCTGTTCCACAGGGCGCCACCCTTTCCAGGCTGCTCAGGAGAACTTACAAATTCTAACTCAAGGCGGCTCTCAGGCGGCCAGGTGGGACGCGCTGGAGTAAAGCTTAAAAGGTGGCCGATTTCTTCTCTTGTCCTCCTGGGGTCTCCTTTTTTAACCCCTTGTTGTCTTTCCTCTTCGGTCCCTGCGCATGTCCCACAGACCATGCCCTCCCGCGACATCACGGTTGTTCTTTAAAGATGGGTTGAGAAAAGATCCAGGTTACTCAGACTTCTTGTGGAAGTCGGGGGTTGAACTTGAGTGTGAACTTGAGAAGTGAGACCGGAAACGAATCTGCCTTCTCTTGTGCCTGCGCTACAAAGCAGCCTATATTTGGGGGAGGGGGCGGTTTTTGAACTTGGCTTTACAGTGTGTCCACTCCATTTACCCTATACACCACACAACACACACACACACACACACACACACACACACACATACCCCATCCCCAGGCGGTCCCAGTCAGCGCCTTGGCCTGGCTCCACGGTTTGCCTTGGGCAACTATCCTGAGTCAGAGCGCTTTGCGCGACGCAAACTTGGTCCAGGATTGGGTGGTCGCCCTGGGGGCCAACCTAGCAAACCCACTTCCCACCCCCCACCCCGCCCCCTCCAGGTCTAGGATAGGTAAGAGACTTTATCCCGAAGGAAGCTCTGGGGTAAGAAAGGGGTTAAGAGTCTCTGATCTTTGAGGTCATTGTCCTGCCCCACAGCTGAACTGAGTCTGGGCAGGCCCGGGGCAGAGGAGGTTGTATTTGGTGGCGCACAAAGTATTTCACCCTTTGTCTGCTAGAGGGTACTACATGAGTTCTAGAGATCTTCTTCGTAGATTGCATTATTGAAAAGAATAACTTCTGAAGGCGGAAGGGAGGACTTTTAATTGGGTCTGTCCCTAGGTGAGAAAGGAGTGAGCCGAGGTGTGGGTTTCAAGACTCCTTCCTGAGAGGCCTGTCAGCTGTTCATTACACAAGGGCACTGAAATGGTCGGATTTTTCAGCCCTGCCTCCTCAGAAAACCCTGCTTCCAAAAACAGGGGCACAGATGTCGTCGCAATCAATAGGTGATTGTGGCTCGGGCGGATTAGAAATCTGGTTTTATGCTTGCTGTAAACAAGGATGGGGCTTGGCTTTTCTAAAGCCCAGTTTTCATCTATTATTTTCAGGTAGTTAATTTTTATTAACTGCTAACTTTAGAAAAGAAGCAGTTTACTCTTAGAGGTATGGCAGCCCTTCGGAAGTCTGGAGCTCAGAATGTCCAGCTGGCCAGGCCTTTAGATTTCCTAAACAAGTTCTTGATCTTAGTTTCTTTCACAAATTTCAATTAAATATTTCTAACCAACATTCAACCTCCCACAATTAAAAAACATAGTAGGAAAGATATCTCTGTCAATTGTCCATTAATAATTGTTCATTAAGTAATCATCAGTAAGTTGTCTTTATTCCAAGAAAAGTAAACATTCAAGCAGTTTAAAGAAAAATCCTAAAGCTATATTTCAAGTATTGCTGAAAAAAATACATAGCCAGAAAAATAAAATATTTTCTTCGGTGTTGCATCTTGGTACTCTCTCCTCCTCCCTCCCCAACATCCTAGGTGGATTTATAAGTAGTATTATGACACAGAGGTGCTTGACATCCTGAGCTTCTGGGATACATATTAACGCCACCAAGACTTTTTAATTTCTGTATTGTCAGAAAACCAGGAATTGGGAAACCAGGATGGAAATATAAAGGAAGATATTTTGAGCAGCAGACCTCATAAACATGAGGGATAAAGATTAAAACTCCTGTTTTAGCACTCATTTAAAATTTAGAAGTCCTAGATTTTCCATCAACAGCAGTAGAAGTTTTGCTCATTAGAAAATCCTAAAGGATGGTTTTTTGCATCATTATTAAAGTGGTTTATGTGAGGTTTTACTTTAACATAAATAAGAGGTTTATTTTATACTCTTCATCAAATATGAATATTAACATTTACTTATTTTGGTAACAATTTGTTAACAGCCTTAAAAGCAATTATTCATATGTGTATTTGCATACATTGTATTTTCAATTTAAGTGTTTCAGAGTCATGAAACCTAATTTTACAGCAGCAAAGATTTTACAGTACAAAGAAAATATGAAGTTACCTTTTTTCAAAAAGTAGCATATACCGAATTGTCACCAGTATTTTTAAATGATTCAATACAGGAAGTTTTTCTAGATAAAAAGACAAGTAAAACTTTTTTTCAGCTGTTACTTCACATTTTATAAACTTGTATCCACCTTTTAGTAATGTCATGTGGCTTATATAGTTTTTATACTTTTCGCTACAGTAGTCCTAAGAAATAAACATATGAATCACAACACATTAACTAGGTTTTTTCACTGCAATGAGTAATATACTTCTAACTTAAAGTACGTATTATATCATTCAATTAATACAGATTAGAGTTCAATATTATTTTAGTAAATTATTAAGTTTAAAAATTCTATATATGTGGGTCTGCTGGTGTTCTGCAAATTTGTAAATAAAGTGAGGTTTAAAATTGTGAACAATAACATCAGTGCCACTGTGCATTGGTGAAATCTAAGCCTTGCAGATAATTATATGAGGAAATGGGAGAATTAATGCCAAAGTTAAGACCATCAAATTCTGGCCAGATTGAAACAAATCAAAAGTTATAAGTGCGTATGTTATTAGTGCAAAAGTTATTAGTGAGTGAAGTGATTTAAAATATATATATTTTTTATCATTTTGGTATTATGAAGAGAAATTCTTAAGACTAAATCATTCCTGTATTTATCCCTTAAAGACAAAAAACCATAAAGGCTTTAAATGTTATTGTCATGAATTTAATGTAATTGACATTAACAAAACATTTTATTGTGATGTTAAAATATACAGAAAAGTAAATAATAGGAATGGACATTGTGCTTAATAATTA